GAGATTCTCTGCAAAATTAGTCACTGCTCTTCCCTGTTGAGCCATCTCCATGGCTGCTAAAGTTATGTGTTTTTTGATGCATGTAAGAGAATAAGTATTACAAAAAATGAAGTTTAGGTCTCATGTAGGTACTCCCAATTCTGCTTAGACCACACTGTTCTGGGGCAATAATGTGTGTTGCTGACTTATAGTCAATTTGTATGACAATGCATTGAGAAGCTAGTGCTCTAGAGGCAAGAATGATAACACTATCAACCTACACTACCAAGATCACTATCTTTGGTTAAGTATAAGACTCAGTGTTCAAGTCCCATAGGCACTTTATGAACATCATGTATCTTAAGTAATTTGGCATATGCAAGCACCCAATGGTGCCTGACAATAAATTTACATAAATGTTTGCTTTTAAGTTTGTTATTGTCATTACTGTTATCTTAGTTTAAAGTATGTGATGATCAAAGGAAGTCATTTCATTGACTTACTTTACAGCAAAGTAAATTAAGGGGAACAGGTTCATAGAGATTCAGTTATTTGCCTGGCTAATGAATGGTGAATTCCTGAAGTGTAGATTCAGATCCACATATATTTAATTTCTAGGGTCAGTTTTCCTTTTGCAAATATGCTGTATCCCATGGGTAGGGATGCCACAAGTGGACTTTCACTCTTTCTCTGATCTTCACCAGGTGTGAACTCCCTCCTACTGTGCCAGAGACAGTGTCATATAGAGAAAATGATTCAGAAACTGTGACTGATGCTTTTACTACACATAATTCTGTTTGGAGTCTCTAAAGTCTCAAGAAGTGGCGGCTGAGTTTCTAGGGAGGATTCTGAATGTCTCAGATGTTTTGATCACTTTGCTTATCCCAGAAAATATATCTGCTAATGCCTCTTTTCCCCAGAGCATTCTGATTTTCCACACAGGGACAGACTCTTTTCTCTATGTGCTCATCTTGTCCTCTCCTTTGTCCCTTGTCATCACTTCTTCTGAACCTGACACAAGCTCTGTGACACCTATTAACCTGTCATATTCATTGGTCTCCCTGAGAGATCAAACTGTCCCTGCAATTCCCTTGTCTAATCTTTGCTTGCCAGAGCAGGCTGACAAAACTGTCCCCTAGTAAATTGAAAGTATAGTCCATTCCCTTTAGCCCTCATAAACTCTATGCTGATGGTCAATAGATGATTTTGTGTATATTTTAAATGTTGTAGCCTCATTTAAAATGAAAAATGTTTTCAGGTAAGTCTGAGCTGATCTCCCAAGGCTGTACAGAAGTACAAAGAAAATAAACACATGGATTAAGAAAGCTTACAAACTTGTAAAATCTTTCCATTGGCATTTTCATTTTCAATGGGAAAAAAGCATGGTGTACTTTGCATCTCATAATATTTGAATTCAAACTGATTACTAATTTTATCTCCTCTTATTTGTTGGAGAATGACTATAGAGGATGAGAAAATCTCCAGGGTAGCTTAATTTGTTTATAATGAAACTCTGGTTATTCTTTTTAAATTTAAGAATGTTAGTAGAGTCTTCATTCTTTCAATGAGCCTGTTCTTAAGCCCCCATGACATTACATAAACATATGGTTTCTTCACCAAAACCAGATCCAAATTTCAGAATAATTATACCTGATTTGTTTTTTATCTGCTCATCTCCAATGACTCTCATACTGTGTTAGAAGTTTGTGTTTAATCAAACTCTTCACAAAATAACATAGGCTATTCTAGGCATCTCAAGTATAGAGATTTCCTTCTAGTAAATTTGTTAAGAATATATTAGAAGCATCAATGCAACAAAGGGGAATAAAATGAAACAACAACAAAAGTAACAAATGGTGAACAAGTGAGGAACTGCCATATCATGGGACTGAAAATTGGGGACCAACATGCAGTGGTCACTGTTTGGGCTCTCTATGCCTTCACTCATCCTGGTATCTCTGTGAAGTAGAAAGCCAGGAGACTTTTGCTCTAGCAATAAGGACAAAACTGTCCCAAAATTTCTGGGAAATTATGGGTAATCCCTTGACCAAGCTTTAGTAGGCTGTTTTCTGTGGTGGGGTGCCAGGTTCTTCCATTCCTGTCAATGTAATGCTCTGTCCTTACTTGGCTAATTATTTTTTATTTGTTAAAAATATAATTTGGGCATGGAAGCATGCTTCAGTAGATAAACATGCTTGCTTCTTGATCCTTGGGATCTGAGTTTGATTCCCAGAACACACATAAACTTTGTAGGGATGGACTTACTTCTTGAAATTTTGCTAGGACATCAACATGCATGTTGTGGAATGCATACTACCCCACATTATACATATTAATAATTAATAAATGGTTTTTGTTATCTTTTTAAATTTGGATTGTTTTTTGACACTTTCACACATGTATATAATACATAACTAACCACTATCACCCCTGCCCTCTCATCTCCCTACTACCCCTGTCTACCTCCACATTTCCCTACAACTTTCTCATTTTGTGTCTATTCCTTTTTTTTAATAACCTACCATGTTTAACAAATTATAATTTGTGTGACCAAGGCTTTGGAGCTGGCCATTGCAGATGACAATTGTTCTGCTTCTCCCAGGATCTGTTAGGAGCCAGTTGTTTGGCACTGGGATCATAAGCTTCTCAGAGTGTTAACAGAGCCAGTCTTTTGTAGGCTCAGGGTAGGAGCTGCCGTGATTGATTGCAACGTGATTTGTGGGCTCATGTGTGATTCACTAAATTCACAAAATCACAAAATATGTAATTGCAATAGTTGTATCAAGGTGAGAGGATGCCATTTCCTAATCTTTCACCCTATTTTCTGGCTTACATATATTCTCTCTCCTCTTTTACAATGTTCCTTGAACTTTGCAGAGGGTGGTATTAATCAATGTCTTGTTTAGGGCAGAGCCCACAAGTGTCACATATTCTCAGTAACTTTGGCAGCCATGAAATCTCTGAATTTACCACCATTCACTGTATAGTGAGTTCCCTCTGATCAAGGCTGTCGGTAGATCTTATTTATGTCATTTCTTTCTGATAGACAACCATGAACACTGAGGAAGCATGTATTACCTTTAAAATTATTTTGATTTTAATACCACAACATCTATTTAATACTATTTAATATCATAATATTGCTATAAAGAAACAGTCAAGATTATCATCATGTGTTTCTTTGTTCCTTTTGCTAAATTTTTTTATTACATGCATCATGGTATAAATTTTAGGGTATTTGTGTGTGTGTAAGCATACTCTGTTTGTTGAAGACCTTCTCAAGGCTAGGTCTTTCTTTGTTAATATTCTCTCAACTAGTGTAGAACCCATTAATTCCTGACTGACATCCTCAGTGTTGTTTGTATCATCTGATTTGAAAGAAGTAAAGGCACAAACAATGGAATATGTAGAATGGTCCCTGATATGAAAGATCAGGAGCAGAAGCTTTGTCTGGAACTGTAGGTATGACACTGGTGTCTTGGAAAGCTAGGCTGACATGATGTAATTTAGCATGTCTGAGCTGGAAGAAGTTAGAGAGAGCTTACAGAGTGCACCGCCATGTCAGGAGTAGACAATGGAAGCTGAGTGTATTGATTTTAGCCTGACTTTTCAGGAACCCCTGTTCTTTTCTCATTTGGGACACAGGAGTGTTATTTTATCTTACTTTATTGTGGAGGTGGGAATTTTTTGAGATTAAAAGTTCCTCCTGTTAGAACTTTCGATGTATCTGGCTGACAGACTGGCTGAGGTTTTATAATCAATTATTTCTAATCATGAAATGTTCTAATTATAAGAAGTAATGTAGTCAGGTATTCTAAATTATGTTTCCATTCACTTTGCCAGGAACCTTTCCAAACCCCTTCACACTGGCATTGTATTTCTTTCTTGTTTTTAACAATGGAGAAAACTAAGGAGGGTTTAACTTTGGAAATGGCGTTACTTAGGACACATGTAACATTATACATACAAGGGTCTAATGTAAATCACAATGCTGTACTATACCTTCCAATTTAAAATATTGATGTTTTTTGGGGGGGGAGAAATCTCTCTTAAATATCAGAGCTACATTCTCAAGTGGCTAAAAAAGAAATGACAGGAACATACTAACAATTCTTTGTAACATAAGAAATAGGGGTTTCTGTTCTTTCACACACAAAGCCTCTGTCTAAAGACAGGGGCAAACTAGATCTAGGTCAGTGGATTTTAAACAACTTCCCAAAGACTCCAGCTGATACTCAAAGGTTGTCCAAGGTGAGGAAGAGAGACAGAAAAAGGTGAGCCTCATTATTCCATCCCACTCATAATCCAAACAGATTCATTATTTCTCAACTAGTTCACTTAACTTTGAAACTATTTCATCATCTGCAGGACTTTGCTTGAAAAGGAATTTGAGTGCTGTATATGTTGCAATAAAAGCTCATACGTTATACATAAATATTCAGCAGATATACAAGTGCTGGGAAGGTTGTGTAAAGGGAGATACTGTAGATATAAATGCAAACAAATTCTTGTTTTATCTTGCCTTTTCAATTAGTTGTGTGACCTTGTGAAGCATGCTTAGTCTCTCTGAACCTTAGTTCCCCCATCATGGATGTTGTGGAAATGAAATATAATAGAGAGTTGGAAAGTCAGCACATTGCAATATTCAATTCAAACATGATTTTTTGTTGTTGTTCATAAAATGAGTCAGTAAATTAATTAAACTCTAAAGGAACAACACAGATATATCATCATATACCGTAAACTCTGAATGTTTATTATATTTGTTAATTTCATATGTCAGTTTGATTGTACTCTATGATCCCCAATAGTTAGTTAAACATTCTTCTGGGATGTCTTTGTGAGGGTGTCTTGACATAAGCTGAACATTAAAATCAGTAAAATAAAAAAAGCTTCTGGTTTTCAATAATGGGGGTGAGATTGCTCTCTTTGTGAATAGGGGTCAGCAAGAGAGAATTCTCCTGCCTGTCAGAGGCCTTCTGATCATGCCAGCATCTCTTCTTGTTTCTACAGAACCTCCCATACTGGTGACTTGAACTGGAATGTGAATGCTTTAGAGTATGGATTCATTAGCATTCCTGATCATGTGAGAAGTATTACAGTAAGTTTTCTTGTAGATTTATCTATACTAAGTATGCATTACAATTGTCTGTCTGTCTGTAAATCCATTCATCCATCCATCCATCCATCCATCCACCTATCTATCTATTCATCATCTATCCATCCCTTATTTGTTATATTTTTCTGGAGAGCCTGTTTGATACAGCTTCTATGGTGATGTTGAAATATTTTCACCAATTTCTTCTTGGAAAATAAGAAGCCTAGGCCTCCTCTCCTTTGGATGAGGGCTATATAGAGTGACTTGCTTCAAGGGAATAGAGTATAGTTAAAATAGCAGTTTGTGTCAAGATCATAAAAAAGCACGGTGGCTTTCTTCTAATTTCTGCTCTTAGTTCACTTTCTCTATGGAAAGCCAATTCTGTAGCCATGTAAAGAAAATGTACAATTCTTAACCAATAACCATACTGAATGTAGATACCCAGCTTCTCTATGATCTCTAAGTTTCAATGCCCTTGAATATACATTCATTAGCTGTGCTTTGTAGAAAGATTCTGAATCAGGAGTATCCAGGTAAACTGACATAGGACTGTACACACAGACGTTTTATGAGCCAATTGATATTTACTTTTTTAGCTGCTGTGTTTTCAGACTAATTTTTTGCAGCATTATACAATTGTTTTTATTTTGAATCTGCATTTTTGGACTAAAGATAAATAATACTTCCTGTACACAAAAGAACGCAAGCAAGGCATATTTTCACTACATTTTCTGTTTGCATTAGATATGGGAAGGAGGCCAGCATTCAGAAAATCTTGCTCAAAATTTGAAATGTCCTTGTTGATCTGTGTAGAAAGTCAAGCCAACGCAAATGAGTGTCAACGAGGGCAAGGATAAAATAGTGGGTTTTGGAGGGATAAGCAAACCCTTGATCAGCACAATGAGGAATAATTGGCTATGTAAATACAAAGGTCAGAGTCCCTGCATACTTTTAATAGTTGTTCAATACATATGCATTGATTGTTGTTGGTTGATTTATTTTGAGTGCTAGACAGATTGTGAGTCACAGTGTTGCAAGGCAGCTAAAAATAAAGGTTCACCATGCTTAGGAGAGTCAATATGAACAGTGAAAGTGAAGGAGAAAGTTTGGTGATCTCTCCTTCTTGACATGAGACTCCAATTTCTGGAAAGGAAATGGGCTTCCAAGTTGGGGGAAATGAAGGACAATATTCAATGGAAAGGATGTTGCCACTATAGCCTGATGAATCGTTTTTAGTTAGGACTTTTCTAAGGTTAGGACAGTAGAATCATTTACAAAGATGTTGAGAAAGAACTTTTGTGATTTAATGGAGAGGACATGTTGGGAGAAGCTAACTTTAGGCTGATCGTAAAAAATTAATTTGGTATAGAGAGTAAAAGCCATGTACATATATAGAACTTAAGTTTGGCTTCGTTCATTGATTTGATGAAACATTTACCGTATTTGAATTTTAATGGGATAAATGCAATTGTAGGTTGTGTGCTGCATCATATTAGAATGTTTGTTTTGGAGACTGGAGCCGATTTGAAGTAACAAAGGGGACATTGCTATGGAAATATGTTTACATTGTTGTTTTCCTAGGAGGTCTCTGTTTACATATGTTGTGTCAGTATAATTATCATAATGCCACTTTAGCTCAAAGAATTCCATCCTACACAATGTGTAATACAGGTAATGGTAGAACGTATGGAGAATCAACAGGGCTGATTGTTTAAAAACTTAATGAAACAACCCTGCGGAATCAATTAATAATCATGAGATCTTGAATGATGTTTCTAATATCTTTAACTGTGGTCATTTTAAGCTAGGAATTAAACTAGATATTCATGTATTTTGAAGTGAAGATTATATGAGTAATTATTGTGCACAAACCTCTTCATATGGTACTTGATTTGTAAAAGCACTATGAAGGCCTGAGTTCATGTAATGCTCATGAAACTATTGTGATAAACGTATATGGTGACCCTCTACAATTGAGGGCAGTGAAATATTAACAGATTAAAGTTATTCCAAAGGCAAATTATTTAGAAGACAGTAGGACCAAGTCTTGCCTTGGACTTTAAAATTGCCATTTGTGCAGATATTACAGAAGGCCAGCTGACCTCACAATCTCTTTTTGTTTCTTGTAGTTTGGTTCTTGAGTGTCACTGAAAAGACAGTCTTTATTAGCTTTGTCTTTAAGCTATTGCTTTGGGGGCATAATATGTGTATCTTTTAGGAGGTCCTTATAATAAGTGGTCCATCCCTCATCAAGGACATGCTTTGAAAGATTGTTATGGTATCCTAGCCGCTTCCTGTCTTTTTCTTTGCTTCCTGACTCATAACGTTAATATGGTGGAATTGACTTCCTGCCTTGACCATTCAGGGTGGTCTCCATAATTTCACAAAGTGTGCACACTCAGTCTTGGACTAAAATTACCAAAAATATGAGGCAAAATAATAGTTTTGCTTTTCTTAGAAAATTAATTGTCTCATATATTTCTTTACAGTGATTCAAATACAACTTTATATTTTAGAGTAAGTTTGCATGAGGTGCTATACATGTCTTCTTTTTTTTATCATCTTTTATTTTAATTTTAAATAGCTTGTTTTACATGTCAATCCCAGTTCCCTCTCCCTCCCCTCCTCCCACAGTCCCCTTCCCCCCCTCCCTCCCACCCTATTGCCAAATCCTTCCACATAGGGGATATCTAGAGTCTGTCATTTTACTCTTGGTAGGGTCCAGGCACTTCCCTAAGAGTCCAGGCTGAGAGAGCATCTCTCTTTGTGCTATAGGCACATGAAGACAGTTTGTATACCAGGGATAGACACTGATCCACAGCTCAGGGCCCCATAGGTTGCCCAGGCCTTCTCACTGACACTCACATTTGGGGGGTCCAGATCAGTCCCATGCTGGCCTCCCCACTGTCGGTCTGGGGTCCAAGAGCTCTCCCCTGTTCAGATCAGCTGTCTCTGCTGGTTTTGCCAGCCCATTCTTTGTCAATTTGCTCATCACTCCTCTCTCTCTGTCACTGGGTTCCTTGGGTTCAGTTCAGTGCTTAGTTGTGTGTTTGCCTCTGCTTCCATCAGTCACAGGATGAAGGCTCCCGGATGGTTATAGACATCAAGTTCATTATCAGGAATGGGCATTCGAGGTGGTCTCTCCACTATTGCTTAGCTTGCCAATTGATGTTATACCTTTAGATCACTCGAGGTCACTCTGGTGCCTGATCTGTCTTCGATCCTATGATTCCCTCTTCCCCCTATTCTACCCCCACCCCTTCAACTTCCTGTTCCCCCATGACCAACTCCCTTCCTCTTTACCACCTCTATTCTTCCCAGGTCCCACTCCCCCCAACCCCTCGCCGTGTTCCCCATCCATTCAGAGGATCTTGTCTCCATCCTCTTCTCTTGGGTACTATGCATATATGCATATCTTTTAGGTTCTTTCCTGTTTCTCAGACTCTTTATCTGTGGAAGTGCAGACTGGCACTATCCTGATCCATATCTAGAATCCATATATGAGTGAGTACATACCATGTTTGTCTTTTTGCGACTGGGTTACCTCACTCAGGATGGTTTCTTCCAGTGCTATCCATTTCCCTGTGAATTTCAAGATTCCATTGTTTTTTTTCTGCTGAGTAATACTCCATTGTGTAAATGTACCACATTTTCTCTATACATGTCTTCTTATTCTGGTTCAATTTTCTACTTGCTCAGAGAACGCAGGGACCATGGCTGCTCGGGACAGGAGTTTAAAGCATGTCTCTAAGTATCTTCATAGTTAGAGACCAAAGGGAATGAATGTTCTTATGTGAGTCAACGACAACTTGGATGTGTGAAGACTTCACACCTAGGGTGCTGGCCTTTTCACCTCAAGTTTTAAATTACACTGTACACTGTAGCCAAAAACGTAACAGTGCAATGCAGTATTTCTCCACATTTTAAATAAAGATTCATATCAGATTTGGAACAGAAACCTCCAATGCTTATGCTTCCTGAAGTGCATGGGTTTGTAGATTTAAGTATAACTGCTTGTCACTCTGAGGTTAGCTCATTGCAGTGTTGTGCCTCATGTTCCTTCCAGTGTTGTTTTCTCTCTGAAGTTGTTGTCTCTTTCATTGCTCAATTTGAACTTCTGAAAAACTCTGTTTATACTCTGTATTCCCACTTGCATCATGAGAATAAGCGTAGATATCAAGGTAATTGTGAAGGTGAGAAATGCTTTGTCTCATATGTCTATCCTGTTATGTCTCAGACACCAGGTGCCCTAATGCTAGTACTATAATCATAGCCAATGAAAGTTACAGTAAAGACAATAGTTACAACCAGCTTGGTTCTAATAGCATGGTCAGTTGAAATTACTGAGCTGACAGATTCTACTACATCATGTTTATGCTAGTCTCATTACATTATCGGGATTACCGAGGTTAATATCCCTCCTGGGACATATTGTTTTCTCCACAGTGCTGATTTTCTACCCTTATGCAAGAAGAACTGCCTTGTTCTTCACTGAGAGGGTGTGTTTCTCTTGTATAGACAAGCATGCTGAGAAGATTTTTACTTTTTAAAAGAGCACATTTCCATACCTATCAAGGAAATGAAAGCTTTTCAAGAAAATCCCTGTGAAAAGTCTAAAATTATTAAAAGAATAACTGTTGAAGGAAAAGAAACAAAGCGTTTAACCTTTTTCCTGTAAAAGTCAAAGACTGTTCTTCTCACAAAAGCCTCTGCAACCTCCAATTTTATTCAGCAGCTAAAGAAATGAGCTGTCCTAAAGGCTCCAAGATTTAATCTCTATTGCATAGCAGTCCTATAGAAGTCCACCAGCCTTCATTGTCACCGTTTTGTCCCCATCTTGCATCCTATGGTATAGACCTCTAATGTAAACAGAAATTCTCATCTATGAAGCCTGTTATGATAAGCCAAAAACTCAAAGATGCCAATTTTCCATAATGACTGTGCTCACTCACCTGGGCAGCACTCATCTCCTGTCCAGAAACACAGAGCCCTTGTCATCTTCC